CCAACCTTAATGATCCTGTGATTCTGTAATTTACGACATTTCCATATCAGCAGGACCGTAGCCATTACCAACCGAATGACTGGGCTGCAAGACTCGGGGGAAGCTGGAGAGACCCTTCAGAGCCAAACCTCCCCGGGCTTGGCCTGGGCATTGCTCAGTTGCTCTTCTAGGAACCCAACAGTCAGTGCAGGTTTTAGCAGCAGTTGCCATGTCACTGCAGCACTGCTCTGGTCTTGGAGAGCAACCCAAGGCAATCTCAGCTCATTCTCCCCTAACGTGGCTGTTCAGCCAGAAGAAAGTGTATTACTGCATCCCTCAGAGGGAAAAGCACTTTGCCTGGTGTTCTGTAACACAGTGCAGTGAGGGGCCACTGAGGCACAAGGTGGATTTGGTATCCACGAGGAAAACTTTTTCTGTACGAGGGCAGGAAGCTCACAGCACAAGGGCAAGCGGCTGGCAGGCTGCATAGATGCACTGAAGTCCTGCGAATTATAAGGCGGGATGCCAGGGGGTAAATTAGAGAAGGTGACAAAAGGAGCATCACTGAAACTCAATGCTCCCTTCAAACATTAACTGATATTCATAACACCTCTATGGCAGGCAGGAATCGCACCCTTTTTAGGCTGAAGAAATCAGAGCCAACAATTCCTAGAGCTCAGCTGGGAGCAAGTCTCCTCTCTAACAGCACCAGGGTGGCCAACAGGATCAAGGGATGCAGAGCTGCACCTGAGTTGGTGTTTGCAAGTCACTCAAGCTGCCAACATATGGTGCTGCTTTCACAGGGGTCTAAGGCTGAGCCTAAACAGATGTATATTGGCAAAGAAACTGCTCATGGTCATTAGGCCAAGAAATTCAGTAGCAAGCAGAGTAAAAGCAGGCTATTTTCAATTGCCGCTGGAGAGTGGCCAAACCCACAGGGTTTGGGGCACACAGAGGTAAGGGAAGGGCATATGGTCCGTGTTTAGAGAGGAGGGCGGGAAGAGAAATTTCACTATATAAACCCCACTGTACAATTACGGAAGCGATGCTGTCTGCCCTGAGGACAAGCATTTCTGGACATATATTCATAAACTTTCCCTCAAAGCCTAACATAGGCTACAATTTCAGACAGCGAGACAGGCAAATGTTTCCCCGCAGCAGTGACAGGACAGTGCAACTGGCAGTCTTGCCCTGTTTAATGCTCTCATCTGTAAAATAGGGTAATGTTTCCTACCTCCCAAAAAGTCAGGTAAGGATTCATTAATGTCTGCACCAATGCTGTGTTAATTCTAAGAGGTGGAGACTTATCGGCTTCCTTTTAACCTTTGCACATCTTCAGTATATGTAAATATATATACGCTTTAAGATTTTAGTTATTTTATTCACAAGTCAAACCAAAACATGAAAAGGTTGCATGTCTTTGCACAAGTTCCACTGCCCTCAGTGGAAAAACATCAGTTTACAACAGGATTAAACTTCATCACATCTTTCTGCCTAGCCTGCTTCTGAGAAGCTAACACCTAACAGTGGCCACTGAACTTCTCACCCACCCCTTTTATAACAGAACCTCTCAATGCTAAAGAATCAGTTCAGCACTGAACACCACTTGCTGGAGCAAAAAAGGTGTCAGAAGGCACATTTGCCACCTGACACTCCTAAGAGCAGCACATTTCTCTTAACAATGACAGAAAGTGTTATTTGTATTAGGATAGCACCTTTTTCCTGCTACAGTCCCCGCTTGCCCTACCTGGTCACAAAAATGATTTGAATCCTTAATGATACAAAGGTCCCGCTAATTGAGTGAAGTTGCTGTTTTGAAACTATGGGTATGAGTTTTCCAATAGCAAGCAGTTCCAGTTAACATGCTATCAATTCAATTTAGGCTTTATTTAGAGGAATGAGGTACTCAGACGCCAGTTTAATTTCTTTTTTTTAAGTTATACCCTCAGATTAGATCTTCCTTTAGTAGCTACTAGTCTTTTCTTACTAAAATACTGACCTTTAGGGGCATACTCTCAACCACGGAGACCAGTCTGACCACAGGGGAGCTAACACAATTTACATCAACTGACAAGCAAGGCATGCAAGTCATTAATACAGGATTAGTAGTTCAAAGAATTAGAAATGCTCCACCCAAATAAAAACTGGCCCAGGCTGAGGATAACAAGCAGTTGCACAGAAGAGCTGCTTCAGCTGTTGGATACGCCACAGCATAACCCAAAAATACCAGGCAGCAGAGGAGCACTTAAGAAGACCCATGAACTGGGGGTTAAAGTCACTAGGACACAACAGATAGACATGTTTCTCAGAAACAACTGCTAATTTGGGTACCCACACAATGTCAGGGCACTTAAAAATAACCAAGTCACTTTACATCAAGGTACTGTGGAAGGTGAACTCGGGGATGCATTAATTTTCTCTCCATCTTTTAGATACAGTAGGAAGCTCTGCTCACCTTAGGTCTAACATTGAATATAATCATCCATGCTCCAGAGCTACAGAATATCAAGATGTGGAACAATCTCAGACTTGATAGTTAAGCAGATGTTACTTAACCAGGCCTTGTTTTGCAGAGCCTGAGGATCTGTAACTCCCCAGGGACTTAAGCTGGCATCACAGGTGCTCAGCTTACATTTATGCTCCCTCCTTCCATCTGCCCCCAATTCTGGCACACAGTCACAATGCAATGCCTTCAGTAAGGGAATGTCAAAACATTTCAGCTTATTAAGATTTTGAGAAATCGACACAGCAGGACCTGGAATTTAATTTTTTTTTTTAAAAAGGACATACTTAATTTTTCCAAGATCTCTTCATCTGACATTTTTGGCTTTTTCTTTTGTTTCTCCGTGTTCCTGACCAGCATGTCAGGTGCCGTTGTGCTGTTTTCCGAGGGAGAGGAAATAGGAGAGGTGGCCACATCCCTGGTAGGAGGAGGAAGAGGGTCTATCACAGAGCGAGTGTATATCTAATTTTGTTGAGAAATTGAGAAAAACATACATATTAATACAAGGCAGATGAAGATTTAAAACACTTTACTCGTTATTGTTCTTGTTACTGTCAGGGTGTATTTCTATAGCTACTCTGTTAACAACTAATGTCGCTATGCAAGGACTCTCATCCCCCCGCCCAACTAGGCAGGTGATAACACGAAGGTGCTCTGCCAGAAGGAATGGCTTCCACCTCCTCCCTCCTGCTCCCAAGCAGCACCATGCCAGGCAGCGTGGATGACGAGTCACAGGCAAGACCCGACCGTGACTGCAGTGGTGGGGGCTGAAGGAAGTATTTCTGCTCACAGATTTTGTGTGTTCAGGTCGTGGAGCTATCACGGGGGGTGGAGCTGCATCATCTTCATCATCTTCATCTTCAGACACTGAGGGCACTGCAGGGGTCTCAGAGACAGCCTTCACATTCTGCATGTGATTACAGAAATAGCAAAAATAAAAACCCAATCGCTTGTTATAAACAAAATCACAGACATTGGATTAAGCTCCTAACAGAGACCACATTGAAGCAGGTGCAGAAAAATAATCATCAGAACAAGACTAGCAAGTTACAATAGCTGAAGAATTCAAACCCCAAAGATCCTGAGCTTTTGTGGGAAATGGAGGGGCAGTCGAGCACTGCCTGACACAACTGTTCAGACAGAGCCTGCCTGCCTGCAGGATGGCAACCCTCTTCCCAAGGACTTGAGACCCACCTGGGCTTTCTCACTGCCTTCCCAACACCCACACAGCAGACCCAGCAGTTCTGGGGACAACATCTGGGTTTGGAAATATCTCTCCCTGTTTATGTTACCTCTTCTGTTTTGCTGTTTGCTTCAAACCCTGATCAATGCAGACTGAAGACTTCAGCCTTCAAATGTTTTAATTTGCATCAAAATCTTAATGTTTTCTCTAAAAGTTAGGAGGTCAAGTTCACATCAGCTTCAGTATTGTGACTAAGAACTAAGTAATAAGAGAGTTTGGAAGAAGAATCTGGTAAAATGTTTTCAAAACCCTTTTAAAATTGCTTTTTAAAAGAAAATTTTATGAAAAATAAGGAAAATAATTTTTAAATAAAAAACTTCGTAAGTCGTTAAAAAAATTACTTGGAATTTTTTGCACTACTGTGATTAGAAATCAAAGTCACTTTTAACCTTTTGAATTTGAAACTGGATTTGTAGTTCATGGCATCCTTTACACTATAAACATTTCAAAATAAACTTGGCAGGATCCTCAACCCACTAGACCAGTTCTGCTTGTGCATCATCAGTTCCCTGAGTGGCAGGGGAAAAAGTATTAAAATAAAGTTCTCTGAAAGAGGGGGAGAACAATGTAGTATTTCACTGAACCTAAAGTACTTGAAGTCACCAGCATCCTGACATATAATTGCTACAGGGCACTTGACGTAACACCGAAACTTAGTCTGTTAAAAGCAACAAGTAAAACCACCTTTGTACTGGGAATTTCCTAAATATCCCCAAAATTAAAAGGTTACCCAGTGTCTTCCAAAAACATCGGGCTATCTCAGTAAGCTGGTTACTGCTATTTTCAGGATTTACGTTAAAATCCAACAGCCTCAGATATTCTAAACTCCTGAGGATTGACATATAATGACATGTAATAACGATCAGTGGCAGAAACGTTCTCCTTTTCTTTTTGCAGAGTCCTAAACAGCCAGATCTCAATACGCTGCCTCTGGGACGGAGTAGAACAAGCCAACTCTAGATAATGGCATGGCAGCGAGAAAACAAGAGACAAGAGAATTGTGGGGTTTTATGAATCATCTTAAATTGAAAGTTTTGTTTCCTCCATGTCACACAGACATACAGAAACATATCATGTCTCCTAACAAAGCAAACAGGAGTGGTGCCTGCCCTGGTAAGGACAGAGTAAAGGTCAAGCAGAGAGGAGAACATTTTATTTCCTTTTCTGCTAGAGATCAGTCTGGTTAATCAACACTAATCAACATCAGTTTTGGTCACTCAGACCTTGCAGGTTAGTAATTAAACTTTGTTATACCACAGATGTTTGTAGAGACATATAAAACCTGAAAGCAGAGTGGTTATCAAATTCTAGGTACAGGAACAGATCAACTTCTATGAAAACAGAACTATTTCTATTCATTAATCCACTAATTTCTATTCGCTAATTCACTGTTCACTAATAAAAGCTACTTCTGCCTACTTGATTCTTCCCCAGTTGAAAAAAAAGTAGAAGGAACATGCCTGTTTTTATAAACATGTATTCACTAAACAGATATATATAGTTCAGATTTTAAAACACTAAGCAAACTAAAAGTTTACATATAGTTAACTATTTTATGCAAGTTTTTAAATCCCCAATCTTAAGACAGAATGTGAATATAAGGCTTACCAACGTATTTGATGAATTGTAATCCTCTGTTGATTTATCTGGAAGAGACAGACAGTAATACTGTTATTTATAAGTAAAGTTGTGCTGTAAATGCAACTGCAGTGGGGAGAAAAGAAAGGGACAAGCTCCCTTCAGAAGAGGCAGGAAGAAGGCTGCTCCCAAATCTAGGCATTACCTTCAGCTCCCCCGAACAAGCTGACGCCGGGCAGATATGGGAATAGAGGGTAAGAAGTTATGCAGATAAATGTGGGGGCCCCAAATCCCTGCTGCAGGAGGGTGGAATTTCCCAGAGCAACACCAGAATGAGTACTGTCCTCCATCTATATACACAAAGTATTTTCAATGGGCTAAATCACCAGCAGAGGCACTGCAGCTAGCCCAGGACCTGCAAATGTTCAGTCTCAGCCACCTAAACTTGCTGGAACAGCAACAGAGGACACCACAAGTCAACTGGTGGGCTTCTTGTCTGACTATCCAGGCACATATGGGGAAGATTTGTGTTTTTATCCTTGCCTGGAGCCTTCCTAATTAATACCAGTTCTGGTGACATGGTTGTATACTCAAAACGAGCCAAAGTAAGGATTAATATTTGGAAAAGGAAGGAATTAGAGTTGAAAGGGAAAAGGAGCTGAGGTTGCAAGAGTCCTCCAGTGGGCAGGTAATCCATACAAAAAAGGCACAAAGCCTTGGCAGCTTTGATTTTTAAAGGAACTCAGACAGCAGTTGTTACCAAGCACGTAGTAGCTGAGGCGTTGTCCTTGTTTCAGCTGGTATAGAGTTAATTTTCTTCACAGAAGCTAGTGTGAGGCTATGTTTTGGATTTGGGATGAGAAAATGCTGACAATGTACTGATGTTTTGGGTTGTTGCTAAGCAGTCAAGGACTATCCCGCTTTTCATGCTGGCCTGCCAGTGAGAAGGCTGGGGGTGCACAAGAGGGAGGGGACGCAGTCAGGACAGCTGACCCAGGCTGGCCAGAGGGATATTCCATACCATATGATGTCATGCTCAGTATATAAAGCTGGGGTGAAGAAGAAGGAAGGGATGGAGGGACGTTCAGAGTGATGGCGTCTGTCTTCCCAAGAAACCACTACGCGTGATGCAACCCTGCTTCCCTGGAGATGGCTGAACCCCTGCCTGCCCATGGGGATTGGGGAATGAATTCCTTGTTTTGCTCTGCTTGTGTGCGCGGCTTTTGCTTTACCTATTAAACTGTCCTTATCTCAAACCATGAGTTTCCTCACTTTTACTCCTCCAATTCTCTTCCCTATCCCACCATGGGGGGTTGAGAGAGTGGCTGGGTGGGGCTTAGCTGCAGGCTGGGGTTTAGCCATGACAGGCATATTCCTCAATCACAGCACACGGGAGCAGAGAGACCCTCACACCAAGTGTGCATGAAGTAACATACACACCCATGTTGGAAAGTGAAACTGGTGCAAAATTTAGCTGCCTGTTTTCTCCAGGGATTTTCATCACTGGGAACCCAAGACCAGCACTCTGGGATCTGCCTTACAAATGCTGGCTGCAAGGTTCAGAAAACCTATGCATTTTGGGGGATTTAGCCAGTTGACTGACACTTCTTTTGCGGCTATATTGGGCATCAGGATTAACAGAATGGCATTTCAAAGGAAGAAGGATGCTTGAGCAGACAGAGATCTCATTCACATTTTCCTTGAAAAGACAGATCTACTTGTTGATTAAACGAAAGAAACCCCACATGTAGTGACTACTGTAAAGTTGGATGATGGAGCTGTACGAGTTGATCACTGTGTACCTGTGAAACTCATGTACTTCTGGCTGTTGGAGATCTTCTTGGAGTTGTAAAACTCCAACACATCCAGCACTGCCTGGGGGTTCTTCTTCTGCTCCGACTTGGTGATGTTGGAAGTCTGCAGTAAACGTGCCCATTGCTCTGGCATTCCCTGTAGGGAGACGTACCTCGTTAGCTCACAGTCAGCCTAATGTGGCTCGCAGCACACACACCCAACGTCATGGTTGTGCCACACAGTTTCTGGGGTTACTCAGTGCTGTGAGGGAAATAGGGAGAAAAGAGGAGAGGAAAGGAGAAGAGGCAGTGGATCGATACCTTCCTAGCCACTGTCTGTGTTACAAGTCACACATTCTTTACATGGACGTGCAAATGCTACTCTGCTCTGGGTGAGCCCCACATCTTTTGAAGACCAAAACTCAAAAGACAGAAAGGAGCAGACCCAAATGCTGCAGTTCAGGAAGGGTCTCAAGCAAAAAAAACCATCCCTTTATGCACCTGTATACACATATTTACATATATCCAAGAAAGTCTATGGAAGTAACGTACACTGTATAGCATCTGGCGCAATGAACATGCAACATTCATTTGGGTCTCCTTGTAGCACTAGAGTAATAGCAGTTTGGTGCCTATTGTAAGCAGAGCTGGGAAAGCAGAGACGTTATCCTCACCGATGAAGCTCAGAATTTCATTACAGGGACATCATTTCAGCCACAAAATAAATACATCTGGAGTACAACCTGACGTGTGTCTTTCATCACTGGCAAGAAGAACAGTTTGCATAGATGAAGTGGCAACTGACTGGAATACTTTATCGATAGTTACCCTCCCTGTTCAAAAAGGTGGCTGGATACACCACTAAGGTAGTGCCCCACTAGTACATCTAGGTTAACTCAGGCAAGTCTAGAGGCTGACAGGCAGAACACAACTTTACACATGATTCAGGTAACGAGAGCAAAGTCCCCGAAAAAAAAGCATATTAAAGACAGCTAAAACCAGCTTGCTCACAAACAAGCGCTGCTGCTATTAAATCCTATCTCATAATCAAATTAAGAAGAATAATTTCATTAAATACAACTCTATCTTCACAGTATTTTGCTTGTCAATAAAAAAATACATAAAAGCATCTGTCATTTAGCCTTAAGACAGCACATATGCATTCTGTCATAAATAGTTATGCACAGTTGTGTGTCTCCTAAAGGGGAACTCTCAGAGCCCCACTTGTTTGACACAGAGTATGCTGTAGAACTAATCTAGCTCTAGAAGAGGAGGGGAGGGAAAGGGAGGACAGATACACCATGTTTTGCTGTCCACATCAGCCAAAAAACAGGAAAGGGAAAGTTTGCTGGCAGCCTGGGCTCCTGGGATGTGCCAGCTTTGACAAACAGTCTCTCAACAGGCATTAGTGGGTAACCTCTGCAGATGTGTTTCAAAGGAGATCAAACTAGATGATGGTAATAGCCTTTCCAGCATTACTATATAAAAGATTAATGGGTCCTGGCTCCTCCCAGCAATAAGCCAAACCACATAGTTCTCTCCTCCTCCAGATTCACTTACTGTGAATTCTCCCGTGACTGCATCAAACCCCACATGAATAGTGTGTTCAAAGTCTGAAGGGAGAGAGATCTCTGGCCGCTCTTTCTCTTTCTTTTTATTGGCTGGAAAAGACAACAACAAAAAAATTCATAAATCCATCAAGAATTAAAATGTCCCCAATAGCTTCCAATTTACCTACCCAACCACCCCCCCTTTTTGTTAGCTATAGGATTTTGATCTGGGGCAGGCAAACAGCATGTTTAAAAACTTTGTTAACTCGCTTAAGATTAGCCACAGCGAGTGGGCAACAAAAATCAAAGCCCTTTAACACAGGACAAGCATAAGACAAGGAAACTGATATTCTGGGTATGTCAAGTATCAACCGGTAGGGCTAGACGCAACAGCACAAGAGCTATTTACCTGAAATATTCACTCAAACTTATACAGGTCAGAGTCAAAAGCACTACAGCAGCAGTAAGTGGGAGCCATGCAGTTTTGAACACATTTTTTATTCCTTGTTTTAAGCAACTTAAAAAAAAAAAATACATTACATGCTGGTAAATATACACTCACCTCTCATATTAAGACAGGGACAAAATAACTACAAATACTGCTTATAAATAGCTTTCTTCATCCTACGTCCTCAAAACAGGGTTTATGAGAAAAACCCAAATATAACGTGCTTCTGCCACAAAATCTTGTATGAGCAAAACCATTTGTATCTTTCTGCTCACAAAATGAACTAAATGTAGTTTTAATAACAAGCTTTGAAGACACAGAGCAGGAGGGCAGAATCTGGCAGGTGAGGAGCAGAAGTCATGAAGAAACAGGAAACGAAATAAATCAAAGCAGATGCACCCTGCAAATTTTCAAGTCAAGTCTTCAAACAAGATTATCATTATGCCTTGGATTAAGTTCATCCATATTCATGACATATTAGGGACTCCACCTTCCTTTTAACATTTACTGTATTCAAGAAATTGAGATCAGTTTAAGGAAGAACCACATTCTACTTGGATTTGCTCCTGCTTGCTGTTATAAAATAAACAGAGCCAGGTGAAGGTGACTAAACCACTTGTGTTTCCTAGCTGCTACTTTTTCTATCTAAAGCCAAACAGAATTTGTTTCGTGGCTGACATTCCCCAGTGCATTTTTGGCAACATGAATGCCAAACCCCAGGTATTTCAGAAGCCTGTGAGTCTAATGCTCAATATTGCAATTATTTAAGACACTGCTGGTGGTTTGTTATGTAGAGACAGTCAGGGCTTGTCCCAAAGGACCGAATCCTGTTTCCTTCAGTGCCAGCTCTGGCACTGTTCTCTGTGTCATTACAGAGTTACTGTTGCACAGAGCAATTTTGGAGAAAGAAAAGGATCAGATGCTCCATTTGGGACACGAAGATGGAACAGCCTGTTTTTGACTCCTCTTTCAAACAAAGGGGATGGAGGAAGCTGAATCGCAGAAGAGCAACACGGTTGCCAAGGGGAAGGAGCAGAGAAAGCTGCAATGCTGGAGGAGCCATCACAGAGGGGGAAGCTCGGAGGAGACAGAAGCAGCTGCTGGTTAGCAGATGGTGAGCATCTGCAGCACGGAGGCCTGCCAAAGAAGGAACAAGCAGCTGCATCCAGCAGGTACATAGAAAAAGCTGCATGCGTTAGCGGTGGGTAGAAAGCAAGAGGAAAAGAGAGGCAGAGCGAGCCACCAGAGGCACCATATTCTATAGGCCTGTCTACAGGATCAGTCTGTTCCTCCAAGCCAAAGAGTAAGGTGTCCGCTCAGCCTAGAAGCCCATCACTCAGGTGAGGAAGAAGAGGGCACCCGTACTAGCATCACTGTGCAGGAGTGCCGCACGGTGGACCACATGGTCCAGGACAACTGCCACAGTAGATCTGAACATATCTCTAAAAACAGCTTAAGGGCTAGATTAAGTTGCTATCCAGAAGTCAATACATTTAAGTGTTTTTTTTATTTCTACAGAAGACAGCCCGAGCTCCCTGCTGCAAACCCAAATCCCAGCAACCCTCTCTGCAACCAACTCTTCCAGTATCCATTCAACCAGCAAACTGAGATGACTGCTGACTGCTAACTTATCCAAAGCAGGAAACGATGGCCTGAACAAGCCTCACCTACACAGAGCAATAAAAACAGTTCTGAAAGGATTGATTAAATAACATAATGGCCTCTGTCACATCGACACTCCAGCTCTCTGTTCATGTTCAACACATAGCTAGCGAGTTTCAGTATGGCTACACTGCAATATAGAAACAGGAAGAGATTTTTCTGCATTTATGACTTAGGTTGTTTTCATACCCCTGAAGCAGTTAATGTTCTCCCAATTATCTTAGTTTCCTGCAACCATTTCCCACAGCATCTCAACCCTTTCCATTTTCCCTGACTCTCAACAACTCTTTGGGACAGCTACCACAAATTCATGCTAAAATCACTTTGCCTTAGTGATAATATTACAGCCGGTGAAACCGTAATTGCTCTGTACACTTTTTTTAATCTGCCTGCCTGCCACACTCAGGGTTTTATAGCACCCAGACTGAGTTCACCATCATGTGAACATGTATGAATCTGGCACATGAATTCAGAGATTTTCCTCCAACGGCCTCAGAGAACAATGAACTTCAGAAGATTTTGATCCAAAATCTGACAGATCTAAAAGCCTAAATATATTTAAACCATTAATAACGTAATTGCTTTTTACAGCAGATATTTATGTCATAGCAGGAGGTATAAGACAAAAAGGATTAGACGGGCGCTCCCAATCTTCCTAAACACTTAATCCCCTTCTACAGCGATTGTATTATCCTTGCAGTGAGTCAAAAGCCTTGAAGAATCTTAAGTATAAAAAAACCCACAGAGAAATCATCTATCTAATTAAGAAGGCCCACCTACCACCAAGTGCTTTATTCCCACAAACACCTTACCACCTTCTCATTCAAAACCTCACACGTTTGACGCTGTGCCACCTATTAAAAGAGCCACCCATAAAGTTTTCTTATGATGCTCTGGCAATTTGAGCTGCAACTAGGAAGCACAATGTCCCACTGTGAAGCAAGCCCGTGAGCCCAGCCTGAAGCATACTGAGATGAGAAAGGTCTTCTCCATTGGTAAGGCTGACTAACATGGACCATGGAAAGGGCTCCCAGGCGTGGAAAACTGTCACCTTGCGGGTAAAACCCTGACTCCGTGTGAAGCTGCAGCTAAGCTCAGAGAAGCCAAAACGTGCCACATTCAAGCCAAATTCATACCCTCAACTAGGACACTGATGAGCCCTGAGCCCAAGAAACTTCAGATGTTCACAACTCCTGTTGAAAGCAACAAGTCACTCAAGCGCTGCATCCATTCACATAGGACCCACCTAGTGTTAAGCCGATATGTCTTCTCCAATACCAGTCTGGGGGTTTAGGCTGGGACAGAGGAAATCAGGACTATAAATTACATTCTAAATTTAGCAGGCAGCGCATGACACCTCCAGAGCAGCCTGGCAAGGGGTCATAGCACAATGGAAGTGATTCATATCCATTTTCCCGAAATTACATTCCTCTAACTGAACAGAAACCAACTCTTCTGTTAGTCCAGCCAAACTAACAAATAACACTCAAGTTATTTCAGGCACAAACCAAAGACAGGTGTCTGAACACCTGGGAATTTCATTAATGTTTAAGCAGCAGGAGGCACTGGGAATTTAGTTGTCATTGTGAGGTTAGAAAAAGTTTTCATAAAATAAAAATCAATCAATCTGAAGCGAAGGTGACAGAGTCAAAGGTATTTTTTTGCTCGACGGAATTAGAGGACAGAAGCAACCGTTCTCGTTCGGGCAGGTGTATGACAACAGAAGGCTCTGCTGGGCTTGGCTAAGCAAAAATCTCTCATGTCTCGAAGCATCTGCCATGTTGGCCAATCTTCAGTAAACGCAAGCATCTTCAAATCACTGGCAGTCTGTCTGCTGATTTTACCCAAACCGTTCACTTTTGTAGCTCTCCTTTAAAATCCAGTTCAAACTAGCATTTCAGATAATACTTCTTCTACTCTCTTACAAATTTCAGGTGATTTCTTTGTTTTCTGTAACTGCTGAGCCTAGAGATTTAAAAACTCGCCTCCCTGAAATAAACCGACACAAAAATCCTGCAGGTCTTCAGGATTCATACTCATAATGGCAAGTTCTAAACAGGATCCAGCAAACTTTTAACACGGAGTTCTTGGGTTTCTGGATTGCAGAATCAAAAATCCACATTTGTAAAACAATCCAAAGTTGCTGAAGATACCGTATTATAACAATAATAATGAATGTTGCAATATTTTGCAGAAAATTGACCCAGATCTTGCTTATTTAGTTAGTGGAAGTATCACTTCAGTTAGATTTTTCGCTAACAAAAATTAAGGAGGCAGCCTCCCTCCTGAAGCCCAGGAAGTTGAAGATACCTAGGCTTGACTTTAGTTATCCAGCGTCCAGAAACCATTGCAATGCAGACTCTACCAGAAACTGATGGATTAGAAACAGGAACTCCAAAAAACAGGTCAGATATAAAAAGAAACCAGCACATATTAGGGGATGGAGATTTTTTTTCTTACATCACTTCAAAAGATTCATATGAGAGAGAGAGAGGTTTTTAAAAATATCCTGATCTTAAAAATTAGAATTTCATGTACAGTTCACAGTTCCTATCTCCATTTCCATCGGTTACAGTCCCTGTAACAGAAGAAATTTCCTTCCGTTCACAAGAAATGTGCAACAATTTGCAGTAATGGATTATTCTTAAAAGCAAGTAGACAATGCCTGACCCAAACACTAGAACAGAATAAGTGACCATGCAGTAACATATGACAGGCCTGGCAGGAGACAGCCTGTTAGTCATGCTTAACTCAAAATATTTGCCGTTGAAAACAACAAACAAGCAAAAGATCTCCCTCTGCTCCCCACCAAAGGAATTGCCAGTGCCAGTGTTAAATGGACAGCTTGTAATTGGAACAAAAATTTACGTTTTTCAAGACAATTAAGGACAAGTCAGGCTGGGAGGTGGCAGGGCTAGTCCCAGTATTCAGGGATGCTGTTCTCATAATTAAAGGCATGAAACAGAGTAAGTGGGATGGATTAATATGGCAAGATTAATCATTAGAAAAAAAACAGATCTCCAGTCAGCACCATATATTCCCCCAAATGACCAAGACAGTTATGCAGTAAACAAACACACAACATTTTCTAAAACCTAAACCATTACTAAGCATCAGGTGCTTAACTAAGGTCATTCAGAGCAACATTCAGACAGGAGGCTTATAAGAAGAGACAAAATACTGTACTTTTATCTCCTGGTAAAATAGATCGGTAAAATCGGTCCTTCCTTTTCTTTTCTTCCGGGTTGGGAGGCAAAGGTTTTGAGCCATGGTTTAAAGTCCCAGCGTCTTTGCTTCCCGATCCAATCATAGTGCTGGTATTTCTCATCGGAGGAGCGGGTGGTTTGTCTTCTGTTTCAACTCCATTGTTAGACATCTTCAGTTGTGGAGGCCGTTACTAGGAAGAGGCAAAAGAAACAAGAAGCCTTATTTATTTGTTGTAAACTAGAATCACATACTGTCAAATAAACCATGTGCCCTTTTTTGCAGACTAGACTGTAACCTCACATCAATGCAAATAAGTGTCAGCATGACAAATTCTATTCAAGCCCCAATTTTTTTCTGTTAACAAGACTACGTTCAAGCATTTGAGTCATTGATCGCTAAGAAAAGCCTGTTTCAGCACACAGCAAATTCTCAAGCAAACCATGGAACAGAAGTGTAGCATGGGGAGGAAGAGCAGTAAATACAAGGTAGCAAAGAACAGGGATATCTGAGAGGAGCCAACAAGCTGCTGAGCTCATAAGACCTCTCAGATCCATGCTAGTTGCACTAAAAACTACCTCAAAAGGTTTGTACCAGTATCCAGCACAGCATGAGGCAGAAAAACTGAAGTTTGCACTCAAAGAGTTTCGATGCAGCCGCCTTTGCTAAAAAGCTGCTGAACTGGTTCAGGGGCAGAGATGGCTGGGAAGCCGCAGAGCTGTACCCACGTCATCTCAGACGCAATGCTGTGGCCCTTGCCGGTCCCAAGCCAGCACTTGCCTTTCTGCAGTAGCGCCACGCTTCAGGCGCAATTCAAACCGCCATAAAGTTGACTGCATTTTGTTCTGTTGAAAGGGTCAAACGAAACTAGATCCCCAACGCACACATAAATCCTTAAGTAAATAATCCCTGCTGTGCAGATTTGAAGAAGGAAGCATTGGAACAGGGTAATAGATTATTCTGCAACAACTAGCTTGTTCCACCCAAATGAGATCAGCATTACTCCAGACACAGCCTGGCTGCAGCAAGATCCTTCAGGAAACTGGAACTTGTCTGCATTATGTTCTCAAAAGAAAGCTGGGAGTTAACTGCAGAGCAAAGACCAAAGCAGGAACAGTTTCTGTTTGGGTGGAAAAAGCAGTTTAACAGCTTTATGAATTTCACAAGCAGTAAGGGAAGATGTTTCACTCAGTGAGAATTATTGGGTGTCAGAGTCAAAAGCGCTTTGCTCTCCGCAAGTGAGAAATCTGGTTACGAAGCCGAAATCACCACTGGCTTCCAGGGAGCTGCTTTTCTATAGGCTGGACTCAGAGGAACCACACTGGATCACACTGCAAACAGATCCCACAACCACACAATGGTCCTACGACCACACGACACCACCCTGCCAGTCTTCAAAGACTTCTTTGGCCAAGCTACTGATGCTCAGCATTAACTGGAAATATTCGGACCCGGGGCACACTGCTCTCACGGTTACAGGGAGCTAAGAAAGGCAAATGCTACCCACAGAAGGCACTCGGCCGCAACACGTTAGACTTTACTGAAAGCAGCAGTTCCCTAGCTGTCGCCTACCAAGCCGTGGCTAGTCTCCAGCTCCACTTTCTCTTCCACTTATTCAGTTCCTGGTTTCTTCAGACTTGCTCTTAAACAGGAGGGCTGCCAGTATTGGACAAGCTTTCACACACAGAGAGCTTTGTAAGGGGTTTGAGCCCAGCCCCACTTCCTCCCAACGCAACTGCGCAATGGAATTTTAAATGACAGACTAGGATTTGGGGTATTGATTTTAACGGTGGGACAGTTTTGGCATTTGGGAGGGGTGGGGGGAAATTAACTGTGCATTTGTCGGGCGTGTTCTGGCATGTGCCCTGTGCATCCCCTATCACTCATGCTTCAGCCTCATGCCATTCTCCAGTATAAAACGGAGCAGAACTAAGTGACAGCTGAACTGCCAGCCATGAAGCGGAGCAAACGACTACTCTCCCCGTCTAAGCAGTGGAAAAAAGTTTAAACTAAAACCCAACTGGTAAATTTGGCAGCCACTGATGCACACACATCCTGTGCAACATGAAGATACTGAGGCCGCATTGATGGGCTCTGCACATCGCAGTGTCAGTGGCTGGTGCTGAACTGACACAAATAAAGCATTTGAAATAGCATAAGCAGAAGTGCCACATAAGAGCTGCATACTTTGCATTGATGCTTATTTAACCATGAGAAAGCATATAGCTGGGAGGGTGCTAGGAATACGCTGCAAATAGGGAAGCAGAAGGAAAATGAATGTTAGCAGCTCTGTGCCTGCCAAATGGCCCTCCCCAGGAGCAGGCATCCCATTTGCTGCTGCAACACCCTGGTTTACCCCACAGGGGGTTGAATAAAGGTGCATCCAAAAATTCCACCACTGGCCAGACTTCCTGGAGCTGCAGGCACGGCTGAGATGGCACGGGAGACTTGTCTTGTCGCTGGGTCGCTCTCCCACCGAGCAGAGAGCTGAGCAGGTGAGAATCGGTGTTTGCTATCTACTGTCAGAGACACAGGACTAAGCAGGGGACAGAGTAAAGTCTGGGAATGGGGAATGGGAAATGGAATCAGACCGAAGGGTGGTACAAGGAAGAGAACAGAGCAGCATGTGGCTCCAGGATGGAGAAAAAAAAGTGAGAAGAAGAAGAAACACCCCCCAGATTATAGTCAGAGGCTGGCCTAGGGCTGGGGGTGGGCGGCGGGGGGGAAGACCATGAGAACATAAAAAAACCTGCTGGATGTCAAGCATCCTCACTCTCAGTTTTCCCAGTGCAAAACCCCAGGGCCATCTGCTCACAGTTTCTTCAATAAGAGGGTTTTTCAAAACCCCTTAGTCGGAAAGGATAGAGCACAAGTGAATTACTGTTTTACCACAGGCCTAGAAACACTGGCAGTATATGCTCCTGTTTATCTTACATTATTCCCTGAATAAGCAAGTAACTGCTGAGAAGTTATGTAGTTTAACAAACAGTATTACTTTACACCTATTTGATAACTGCAATTTTCATGTGGGCAAAGCCTACAGCACACCCTCTCCTTTCTTCTCCATCGTTCAAGCCCCCAGACTTTCCTCCTCCTCGAAGTCTTACATTTGGAGCTACAAGAATTATTTAATCTGTTTGAAGATGGGTGGTGAGAAGAATCCTTCAACCTGCAAAATTGAGAGACTGGTTCTACAGAAGTTTTCCCCTGTAATAGCAGCACTATCCTAGAGGGGTCCCAAGAGCTTTTTCCCATTACATATTTGAAGGGAAAACCAAAAACCTGCTTACATGAGTCCTCTCACTGTGATACAGAGGGACAGTCTATTCCAAACTCAGCATCGTTATACTTCAAACTTCTGTTGGCTTCAAAGACTGTGGATGAAACCCTGTCCTGACAGAATTACATCTGCCTCTCCAGGGCTTTCCAGCACAGCTGAGAGCCCAGAGCATGGAGCCATACCAAATGGTTAGAGAGGCAGCAGTCTCCCTCACCATAGCCTAGCTGACTCTGCAAATTCTCTTCTTCCTAAAATAATCTCCTGCCAATTCACATGTAAGCAGGCTTTAAACAATCCCCCCTTGTGTGGGCCCTGCTCAAATTCAGAGCACCAGGCAATTGCTTCACCAGCCAGCATAACATCAGCGCTACGACACTGAAGTTGAGTCATTCTGCTCCACGCGATCCATCCTAACAGGAATGCAAAGCGTCACCGGACCAAGTTACTTCCCTCTTCGCACCAGTGTGACTGTGCTTTGAGAAATTCATCTTATGCTTCCCCGGTATGATTAAGTCAACAGTGGAAGCAATGAAACAGCACATGAACTTTTCAACTGCAGTCAGATGAAGGAATACGTTTTAGCTGCAGACACAATTATTCTCAACTACTATATATATTAAAATACCAGCACTCAAACCAAACCCCACAGACACCACTAGGAAGGCATAGTCATGATGTAGGACTATTGTTTCCGCAGTCATTTGGGAGTACTGAAAGTTTGGGTTGTTTCAGCACACAGTACTTACAAAAATAAAAGTTTTATTACGTGCTGCAACCTGTGACCTGCCATAAGTCAAGTTACAGTGGCCTTCAAATGCTCCCTGCCCCTCCCCATCAACTTTTGAAGCCCATTAGCTAAATTAGATTACCCCAGCCTCAACAGAGTTGAACAGCAGACCTGACAAACTCTCCTTTCACACCTACAAAACACTTCTGCAGCCAGGAAGAGGTGAAAGACAACCACACACACAGGGACGAGAGACTCAGGAAACCACTTGGCAGTTCAAGACAGAGCAAGTGGAGGGACTGAACAGAAGACGGCACCCACAGGTGCTAACAATAGTTCAGAGCAGACCGACGTGCAAAGATCCGCGCAGGTCTGCTGATCTGCGTTAAGTAGATATGGCTCAAAAATCACAAAATTTATCCCTGTAGTTTTCTTGTAATACAGGCACAGGCTCCTGAGCCATTCATCTAGCAGAATGGGACCCCAAAATATGTGAGGCCTTCTGGCACTACTGTATATAACACACACAAACAACACCACCACCACCACCACCAAATATTTTCTATTTATATCATATTTCCTTCTGATAAACCTTTCAAACCTGATTGCACCATGCTGAACTATAAGTTTCTATAAAGCTGGTTGTGTTTTCTTTGCATTCCGTAGCAAGACAGGCAAATGACTGATTGCTAAACAGAAAGAAATTAAAAAGTCAGAGGAGCTGAAACCTATGCTACAATAGATGCCATAAAGATAACTATGTCCAATGCATACTAATTGCTGGAGTCAACGCGGAAACTCATAAAAGAGCCATCTATAATTCATGCAGTCTGGCAAGACAGTAGCTGTATGTTACTCACTACAACTTAAAGAGATGAATAAACTGTATTAAACAAGAGAGGAGGGAGGGAGGTGTGCAGCAACTGTTCTTCCCTCTCTGCCTACTATCAGAATGAAATCTCACATTTTTCCAAGATGCTATTTTTCTGTTGTTGCCAGGGTAAGGAAAGGGTGTCTGTCCCACCAAAAACGCAGAAGGAGTTTTGACCTTTGAGTTGATCCTGACCAGAACAAACATTTTACCTCTGCACCAGTATCCCTGCGCCCTTCCACCCCATGGCTAGAGATTGCTCGTGCACGCAGACAGTTAGTATCTCCTTCTTCCTCCTTGCGCTGCCCCGGTGGGAAGGAGCAGGGGCTGTCCCCTGCTCTGTTCAAACACAATACAAGCACTGGATTCCCTCCCCGTATGTCACACTTTCATCCAAATCCCAGCAGAAAATTAATGGCAGTGTTTACCAGCTGGGTTTCAAGACAGAATGAAATGATACTTTTTTTTTTTATTATTACTTTACATGGGACTAAGTCTCAAACACAGCCTCATATTGAAAGAAAGGCACCCCACACATGTTCCACCTGAAAAAGAGGCAAGAGGTGTCCTTTTCCTCCACCCAACAGTGGATGGGATCCGGGACACATGCTCTCACAGAAAAAGGCAGCAGCAATACGCACCCCCTGAGGGAGGACAGACTGATAATCACATTTAGACATGATTAAAACAACCAGTAACTGTAGCATCTAGCTGTCCCCCCAGACAGTTACTGCACATCTGAGTGCTGTGCAAGTGTGCCAGTTAAACAAAAAAAAACGTCAATGGCCATCAATGCATGAGCCCAGATCCAATATTTACGTGTGAATTTAAAAAAAAAACAGGTTTTCATAAAGTTCTAATGAAGAATTACAAAACAGCAGTGTTTGCTCATCTACCTTTAGAATTTACCTGTTAGACCCCTGCAAGTGCTGCCAACACCTAGAGATGCAGATGGAATTGCTGAATTAAATGAAACAATAATTAAATCACTAAAAATAAGTACACATTTAGCAGAGAATGCATCCACTGCTACAGCCAGAGCGGGTGGCTGTGACAGGAGGAAGGGAGACACACTCTCATGGCAGATGGCCAGCTGCGGGTTGCAGTCTTGCTCCACTGCCGGTGTTATTTCCATAGTACCACACACAAGGGATGATTGACCAGTTACAACTCAACAGGAATGCTGGAGGACTCCACGGCTTGGCATTTTAAAAGCCAAAAGATTGGAAGGTCCTTTTTAAAAAGCCTTTAATTCAATCCCAACTGTTTGGGCTAAACGCAAGAACTGCTGGGTGAGATTCCCTAGCCCGTATTGTGCAGGAGGACGCGGACACCACCGCAGCGAGTACTACTTCTGGGCAGGAGAGCTGTAAAATCTCTTCCTGGGCAGATGTACATGCTGACCCATCACATCGCACAGATACGCTGCGAAAGAAGAACAGACTAATTATAACCGCTTGATTCCTAGCAACAAGAGTTCTCCTTTCACTCAAGTTAAAGAAGCTTCCTTCTGTTTTGTTTTAAATAATCAAGGCCCAGCTTTCACCAGCCTCCACGGTGTGGGCCCATGCATGACCGCTGTGACAGTAACCCAGACACACAGAGGGCTTCAGTAGCACTGAGGCAGGTCAAGCCCTTTCCACTAGATTAGGCTTGAATCCAAAACTGCAGAGAGGCAAGTCAGCTTAAATTGCCATGCTTCAACCTAGCTTCGGTCCTTTCATGAATAACTGGCAGCATCAACACACAATAACCATTTTGCAGTCAATGCCAGCTATGCCCAAGTACCTGGAGTACACGAGGAACTCGCCTTACTTGTGCTCCAGTCGGGTAGCTAAAGCTTTGAGAGCTGCAGAGACCAGCTCTGGCTGTTCCCATCCCTGCAGGGCTGCAGCCTGCTCTCACTTTGACTGAGCACTTACCCCATTCTAACAGTGCTTTTCAGCAGTCCAAGAGAAATAAATTGCATCCATATTAAACAAAACAAAACAAAAAAAAAGAAAATCCAAGCCGAGACAGAAGGAACCAAGAGTATAATTTTTAAGAGTTCTCAGTCCACAAATCATCCTCCTTATTTTCCCATCTCCAGATGGGAGAGAGAGTGCCATCTCCCCGCCCCCAGTTACATGCCTGAACAAGCAAGTTCACTGTTGCAGATACCGGGACAGGCTCCCTTTTCCAGCACAGTACAGAGCAGCCTTGGCTCCGGTTCCACTTTTGCTCACAGGAAGGCAGGGCTTCAACTGCACAAGTCAAAGTGAGTGACTGGAGTCAGAGCTTGCTAAGCAGGGTGGGAAAAATAAAGGCCTCTTATGTTAAAGCATTCCCAAAGCTCATATATAGGCAGGTTTCCTGGAGGAAATCTGTGTTCCAGAGGAAATGACTAGATGCGGCATAAAGAAAATATACTAACACACATAGTTAAACAGCCCCCCACTACTCTCCACCTAAGTTTCTTGGCTCTAAGTCCAAACGGCACATTAGTAGCAACAGCAACTGAAAGCAGCTGAATCATTAATCATTTTTCCATTCAAAAGTTTCCAATCCAGAAGATGAACATAGAGCACAGGGCTCAGAATTAAGCCCCGCTATCCCCTAACGTGGCATAATTCCTAGTACAACGTATTCACGTTTTAAATACACATAGGTATTTGCAAAAACTGCACCTTGTTAAATGCAGAGACTTGACATTTGCCACTTAGCAATGGGGGCGGGGGTAAGAAATATGTCAGAAAACTAGAACACTGTTATGTCAAGTCAACAGTATTCCACACGCACAGAGGACATCATAATACAGTGGTTAGCAAAAAGCTACAGTATGTAAATAGCAGAAAGTTTGCATTAACCTGCAAAAGGTGAGTTTTGCTGAGAAGAGACACTAAGACAGAGACCTGCAAAGAGGAAACCACTGTTCTTAGGAGCAAAATTCATCCAACTCCTCTCTTGCTGGGAAACTAAAGAACAAAAAGACAACATAAGCATCGTCAGCAGATGAAGCCATCCAAGAGCCTCAATTAGACTGAGGGGGAAATGCCACAACAGTTCAGCGCTAATTGGAAATGCAAACATTTATCATCAGAGTAGCACTTGCTCCTGTGCATAGCTCCATTGTGTTCACTGCAGCTAATGACAGTAGGAAGCTCTGTGCTCTGGAGTATTTCTGTAATGACTGGCAAAGCTGTCACATTCTCTTAATCGCTAGCCAGGATTTTCATACTGGCAGTAGTTTTCAATTAAAGAAAATCGCAAAGATTGCTTCAGTTTCACATTGCTCTGTTAAAGTTTTGGTTCTTCTTCAGGCTGGGGAAGGAGGAAGAATGAATAATTCTCCCAAGACAGAATGAGCTCTGCATCAAACGTGAGCTTTTTGTAGACAAACTGAATTGAGGAAAGTACGGTCAAATAGCCAGAACTGAAAGAGCTAATTTAGCATCAGTACAGACAAACAATTTGAGAACTGCACATAAATCTGCTTCAAGTTTGCAATGATTACTCCTTCAATTATGATACATGTAATGCTCTAAAAGCAGTTCATTTAAAAGGCAAAATGAAGAAGCCTAAGGCAGCTTGGGGTTTCCACCTCAATGAGCATTCACAGTAGAGCCTTCTTTGCTGGTAGAGCATCAGCTCTGTGTTTATAATTTTACGTCATCTGGCAAAACACCCTATTGTACCTAGTTTATAAGCCCAGTACATACAGAAGTAAGCGTAGCGAGCATACTGTGGCAAAGTCTCGCATTCCTAAACTTCCTTACTTGTATCAAACAAACTACAGAGCATTCGCTAGTCCATTGTTTAATCTAATGAGCAGCAGTTTGTTTTTAGGAGGTACCATCAGGCCTTCTATCACATCATCTACTCATACTCACTGTATGTCAGTAGAGAAAAGAAAACTCTACAGGACTGGTACAAAGAACTGCTGTTTCTGCAATTATTACAACACAAGTCTGCATTAGCGCTCACGTAAAGAAAGCTCATGAGCCAACTGTACTATTTTTACTGCATTAAATAGAATAGAACATCACTTATTACAGTAGCAGGCCCATTTTAAGGCAGTATGTAATTGGGAGTTAATAACAGGACCAGAAAGAATAGGCAACGTTTTCCTCAACATCTTTGTGCAAGTCTTTCTGGGGCATGGATCTTCTTATCCTATGTTCTTGCTATGATTACCAAAGCAGCTTTCAGTAGGACGCATGCTTCTTTACTGCTACCTGTTTAAAACTCATTTTAGAATCATAGAATCATTAAGGTTGGAAAAGACCTCGAAGATTGTCAAGTCCAACTGTCAACCCAACACCACCATGCCCACTAAGCCATGTCCCAAAGTGCCATGTCTACACGTTTTTTGAACAGTTCCAGTGGTGGTGACTCTACCATCTCCCTGGGCAGCCTGTTCCAATGTCTGACCACTCTCTCAGTGAAGAAATTTTTCCTGATATCCAATCTAACCCTCCCCTGGCACAACTTGAGGCCATTTCCTCTTGTCCTATCATTCTTTCTCAAGAAGCAGCAACATCGGCTGCAGCCACAAAACCCAATCCACTGGAGACTGATTGAGCTCCTATACACAGCCCTGTCAGCATCTGCAGCAACTGACTTGCTTCTTTCAATCCCATTCCCAGTGGACAAGCATCTACATTATAAAATTAGCAACAATAAGAACTGCAAATTCAGCAGAATTTGGATTTCACTGATGGATGGATTGCCAGTATGCATGATTTATTCATCTCAAGACTGCTTTGTCAGGTTGGTTACATCTCCCCTCTGTCCTTAAAATGCTAAAAATCATTTTATGGTCACTACTGAGCAGCCAAGAAGCTCTACAGACAGTATTGTGCCTTTTCTAAGTGCCAGCCAAAACTCACCAGATTTCCAAAATGAAGACAACCAAAGACTTATGCTCTAGGAAGCCATATGAGTCAAGGCATTTTGTCCAGCATAGTATTCCTTCCCATTGCTGTAAGTCACCTTGCTGAAGTCCCATGGCTACTTCCCAATAAGGTCATCAGCATGTGAATTAGCCTCCCTATAAGAGCACTGCAGGCAGCAGATCAAGATTCAGTTTTCTATCGTCCTTCCTTAATTCCAGTAATTTAGAATCAAGGACATTCACTACCAGCATGCTCTTGTAGAGGGTCCTGCTACCTACCCATAACCCCAAAGCTTCCTAAGTGTTCAGGCACTCAAATTCTCATTTCAGCATCCACCCCAGGTTACCTGCCCACACTCCCGCTTTCTCCTGTTGTAACTCCTAGGCAAGAGACTGTAAAATGAGGTATTTTAAATCCCATAGCTAGCACACTACAATTTCACCTCTTGCCTTTACAGTAACAGCTCTGTGCGCTATAAAACTCAGATGCAAACGCGGCCGTCAGTTTTGGAAACAGGTATTTCACAGCCCTCAAGAAATCTCGGCGCTGGTCCCTGAGCATAGCCAGGAAGAATACATGTGGCTACACTTCCTAAACCAATTTTGCCCCATCCACTTTATGGCATTTATACCCTGCCTCATGTGAGCACTGCCTCCCTCTTTACTGAAGCTCACATTCGTACACCCACTGCGGCACAACCTGCACTAACTCCCCCTTCCCTGTTCTTGCACTCCTCACAGAGGGATGAGGTGAAGTGAAATGCCCTGGCTGCGGGAAGGAGATCCTGCAAATCAATCCAGAACAGAGCACGACCTGATGGCTTAAGTGAACCGTCTCCGTTGCAAGAATGAGGTTGCTTCTTCCACTCTTTCTTTCCAGTCGTTTCCTTTGAGCTGAGTTTTCCTCTATTTCTGGTTATTCTCATACTGCTGGTATTTGCAGGTGCTGATTCACAGCCTCCCAAGATACGCACATCGGGCTGCTTTTATTTCTAAGAAAAGTCCCTTCAGGCTGGAAATAAGTCTTGTTTTTCTGTGAGTGCTCTTCAATGTATATCTAGCTTTATCTGAGGAGCTTAAGTATTCTGCTTGAACAAAAGCCTCAAAGTTTTATCAGTCTCTGTTGCTCTATTAAAATATTACAAAACAGACATCCAAATTTGTGGCCTGCCATAGTGCTAGGTCTCTTTTAGCTTTAAAAATAAAAGTTGAATTTGAGCCTAATATATATCCTTTAGACTTCTAACATGGTTTAAATTTACATCCCCATAGGTGACACATCCCCTGAGGGTTTCAATTCTTAACACAATTAAAAATCTGCAAAAACCTAACGCTTTGTTTCTGACAAAGAGAACCAAGATATCTCAAATAGAACTGGTCAAATCCCAAATCATGTTTTTTTGAAATAGGCTCTCAAAAAGCAGCCTTGAGCAAATAAGCCCACAAGTCTGCCATTTTAATATCTCATCAGCAGACAGCTGACATCTTAGATCCAAGATGATGTAC